CCGCAACAAAAATAGTATTTATACTCATTTATGCCAGTTTTCTGTAGGTGCATGCTAATTAACTTTCTCAAAGCGCCAACGTGTTATTTGGTATCAGTGTGCGGCATTAACTTAAAGAAAAAATAACAAAACAATATTTAGAAGGTATTTGAAATCCATAAATCCGCAGTATGGTCGCGTGGACTAAACCCATATGCCTTGTGTACAGAGGAGACCTTTGCCCAGCAGTGGGACATTGATAGACTTGTACTTCAATTTACTTTTAAGTAGCATTCGGTGATACAAATTTAACGTATGCCATAGAAATGTATAAAAAGAAACGGCAGCAGCAGGAACGCCATCTATTATCCGCATTTATCATCTATTTGTCTTATTCCGTCCTAAAATACATACTACCTAGTGAAATTAAAAAAATGCTTAAATTATTTTACAATAAGAAAAAATATTTAATTAGTTTTTTTATAAAACTAACTAATTAAAAGAAAATTAATCAATTATATTAATTTTAACAGTATAATATATATAATAATATAATTGGTATAGATATATTGTAAACAAAAAATACCCAAGTGGAGGATTACATCGCGACAACCTTTATAAAAATCCGCCAAAAGGGAAAAAATCTACAATCTTCTTCCTGATGCAATTTTCACAAAACCATATCACCATCATCATCGGGTCAGAAAGCGTCCACTGCTGAACATAGGCCTCATCTAGGTATTTCCACTTTGATCGGTTTGAAGCGGCCTGTATCCAGCAAAGTCCCGCGACTTTGGACAGGTCGTCAGTCCACCTCGCGGTTGGCCGCCCTACACTGCGTTTTCCAACACGTAGTCTCCACTCGAGAACCTTGCTGCCCGTCAGTTCTGCGAACTATGTGCCCTGCCCATTGCCACTTCATCTTGCAGACCTGCTTGACTATGTCGGTAACCTTCGTTCGTCTGCGGATCTCCTCATTCCTGATTCGATCTCGCAGAGAAACCCCGAGCATAGCTCATAGCATAGCATAGCCCTCTCCATTGCCCGCTGAGCGACGCTGAGTCTCTTTAGGAGGCCCATAGTTAGAGACCACGTCTCGGCACCGTAAGTCATCACTGGCAGTACGCATTGATCAAAGACTTTTGCCTTCAAAATTTGTGGTATTCTGGACGTAAAGACGCTGCGTAGCTTGCCGAACGCTGCCCAACCAAGTTGGATCCATCGAAATAGGACTTGCCTAGCTTGACTACTTGTCCTAAATATACATAGAAAAATAAATAATAAAATAAATATTTTAGGACACATTCTTTTTACACAACGTTATCTAGTCCCAAACTAAGCAATGCTTGTACTATGGGTACTAGAAAACTGATAGACATACTTAAACATACTTTTCTTTTGTAAATAAATACATTATACATATATAAACACCCAGACACTAGAAAAACACTATGCTCATCACACAATATTTTTCCAGCAGTGGGGATCGAACCCACACCCTCTGGCGCAGAAGGCAGGTACACTACCGACTACGCCATTCGGGTCAATATACACATACTCGTCAACAATTTCGAGGGCCGAGCTCCCCGCAAACACTGGGGTGGGCACTACATCTGCATTGACTTTACTGCATTGTCTTGTCCAGATTCATTTTTAGACCCACCTGTTGTGAAACCCGATTGAGGCTTTCTAGGATCGTGCTGAGTTCCTCCATCGTCTCCGCCATGACCACAATGTCGTCGGCAAATCGAAGGTGAGTTATAAATTCGCCATTGGTGTTGATGCCGAGTCCTTCCCATTCCAGGAGTTTAATGGCGTCTTCCATTGCATTTTTTGAAAAGCTTCGGAGATATTACATCCCCTTGCCTCACACCTCTCCGCAACAGAATCGCCTCCGTGCTCTGTTCCTGTATTCGGACTGACATAGTGGCGCTATTGTATAAACAATTCAACACTTCGATATACCGATAGTCTATCTGACATCTTTGGAGGGACTGCAGCACTCGATGGAGTCAAAGGCCTTCTCACAGTCCACAAACGCTAAGCATAGTGGCAAATTATACTCCTCGGTCTTCTGTATAATTTGCCGCAGCGTGTGGATGTGGTCTATGGTACTATAGTCTTTTCGGACCGGCTTGTTCGGGAGGCTGGAAATCATCAAACCTGCGAGCGAGACGATTCGTGATCACCCTCGAAAATAGCTTAAAGACATGGCTCAGAAGTGAGATGGGTCTATAACTTTTAAGTAAGGCCTTATCGCCCTTCTTAAAGAAAAGCACCACCACACTTTCACTCCACGCTTGAGGCGTTATGCCTTCGAACAAAACGGTATTAAAGAGCTTCTTTAGGACCTTCAGTACCGGTGTTCAGAAGCTCTGAAGTAATTCCGTCTTGTCCTGGCGCCTTGTTGCCCTTAAGCTGCCTAAGAGCCATCCTTATCTCGTACAGGCTGATGTCCGGGATAATTTCGGTGTTATGTCGGGCAAGCTTGGCTCTTAAGTCTTTGGCCGAGTTGCTAACGGGCTTAGCAACCGAGGTGTACAACTGTCCATAGTACCACTCGATCTTCCTCAGTACCTCTGGCTTAGTGGACGCTATACTGCCGTCTTCTCTCTTAAGCTTAGTTAACTGGCTTTGCCCAATAAACAGGTCTCTTGCAAAAACTTTGGACCCTATGTTCCGCTCGATCATATCTTTAATATGATTTGTATTAAATTGACGAATGTCGTGCCGCAATGACTAAAAGATATGTCTATTGAGCTGCTGATATGCCTTAGCGCCCTCAGGAGATTGTATTTGCTTCGAGCATCGTTTTGCCATTAGGTTGAGGGTAGACTTAGATAATTTTTGTGGTTTATCTTTACGTCGGGGTCGCAAGAATTTGGATCCCACCATGTGAACAGTTTCCACCAGCCCATTATTGATGTCCACAGATGTGCAATGTTTCAGACAGGCAAAGCGGTTAGTCAGTTCGAGCTGGAAGCTTTCATGGTTATGAATATGAGCTACAGCGGGTTGGAGCGTTGAATTTATCAGGCGGGATCTTTCTAGTTTGGCATTGATATTCAACGTGCCTTTGACCTCTCTCCCCTCTGGCCTCTAGGGTTACGCTACCCATATCCAAAAGGCCAAACTCTTAGCTCGTTTTCGCCTCTCCTACCCAGTTTTGCATTAAACAACACAAAACTATAGGACACGTTTAAAAAGGCTGTTCGGATCATAAATCTATGCATATTTATATAAAATCTAATTAATGCACAAACAAATGAAATGCGACAAGGAGGAATCTGTATTGATAAGAAAATTCTACCCCATGAGAATTTAACAGCATTCATTGCAACACGCATTGACTCCATGTTGCAATGGGGAGTTCATATAGACAAATTAGCTAAGAAATTGAGCGCTGCCTTCTTTGCCCTACGCAAAATCAGGCAACTAGAAAAGGAGGCAACAGCTAAATAAGTTTATTATGCTTATTTTCACAGTATTATGTCATATGGTGTTTTACTTTGGCGTTCGCGTTAGACACGATATTTATATTGCAAAAGCAAGCGATACGGCTAGTCTAATATATTATATAATAATAATAAGCCCCCTGACTGCTGCTTAAATTATAATTAAATACTTTGGTGTACTTACATAATTAAAAAAAAAAGATTACTAAACCGTTTCTAGCCGGTTCTTCTCTGGACACGCCTAGTTTAGTGAACCGGTGGTATTTTTGGCGTTCAATTCTTAAAATAATCCTTTATTGAATAAAGAAATTTTGACTCTAATTAAATTCAAATAGTTTCTAAATAAACAGTCAAGAGTAGCACACGATGGAAATGTTCTGTTATAAAATTCTATAAACAGTAACTAATTAATGATATATGATAACATTAATTTTTCATGTAAATTTTTTAAAATAATGTAGTTGATGGTGCGCCCAATAGTTTATGCGCCATGATAGGGCGGAACGACGGTTTCCCGACCGACATTACATTCGACCGAAGCCTTTGTTTTGCTTTTTATCTTTTTAATCTTCTGAAAAAGATTTTCCTCACTGACGAATGACATTTTCTTGTTTTTAACGATTTAATTACACCAATCGCACATAGACAATCAACTAGAACCGGAACAGTTTATGGGTCATGCAAACGCTTGTACTATGATAATCGAATCCACGACCCGCTGCAATGAAACCAATCTTTTACGACTTTACCAACCGAACCATCAAAACGGTTATGAAAGAAAGTTAACTAGTTCTATCTAATTTTACGCATGAACGATGTCATACTTTCAAGACTTTATCGCTAAAACCAATTATGTTTTAGCGCCATCTATGTAATCTTTCTGTAAGTAAATACCTCGTTATATTAAAAATCTGCGCGATGGACATATCGATTCTTAATTTCTTACATTTAACGTAGAATGTCGAGATAACGGTAAAGAAAAAAAGAAAAAACAGATTTGTGCAAACTATACAGGGTGGCTTTTCTAAGTGTATCAATTTTTTTAATCTACACATAAATAATGTTATATAAACAATGATAAATATTTAAAATCACTCGTAAGTAATTAAGCACATTCATTTGAATTTATCTCAAAAAGTGCGTGATTTATACGCAACTCATTTATTTTACGCGCGATCATTCATAACTAAGACGCACACAAGTTCGTGCACAGTAAAATTTAGGTATTGATGACTACCGCATTGTCAAAACGTTTTTTAGGGAATAGAATGGCATTTTTTTTGGAAAAAAAACTTTGTGTTTTATTTTAATAAACGGTTATACTACCGAGTCTGAACCTCCTGTGTAAATTTGGACACTCAAAAAATCTCCCTGTATAATTTACTTTTAATGCAAATTTCACTTTGCATAAAAATTCAATTGCATAAACTTTATATTTGAGAAATAACTATAATTAGTTATGAAAGAAATATGATACAATTCTGTTTATCTCATTTATTTCAAAATATTCAGGTATTAAATAACGAAATTCAAATAATCTAGTGACTTTTTTACTTCCTTAAGCTAATAGGTTTCTTCAATCAAAAACTCTTGTACCGACTTGTTATACTTAAGTGGTAAAGTTTCTGTTAATTCATTTCTTGTTAACCAATTAAATTTGGCTTTGTCTGGATTTTTGTCTGCACCGCTTTTGTAGCTAGCATAGTAGAAAAATACCTGGAATACCATAAAACCCATTAATATCTAGAACACATTACGCAAATATTATACATTTCTCCATGTATAATATTTGCGTAAAAGAAATTAATAGATTAACTTATAATGAATTCACATGCTTGCTTACTTTGGCTCCAACCTTTCCACCTTTTTGTTCACCGGGAGGATATTTATATTTATAAAACCCGCAAGGTGCATTTGAAATAAATTGCACTTTAAGTTCTGGCCCACAACATTCTGTCAGGACTCTTTCAGCTGTCTACAAAAAGTAAGTTTTTTAAAATTTCATGAATGCCAAATTATTTTTAAAAATAAAAAGATTTTAATAAATAAATCTTAGTATTACATGTATTTGATGTTAAATATAGTCTGCTTGGATCTAAATTTTTACTGTAATTATTAAAAAAATAATTGTTCTTTACATCATCATACGTTTTTCACAGTATACTTGGTGATCATACTTATACTACAATTTTCAACATCATTATAACATCACCTGTCGTAAAGTCTCTCCTTCTGCCCATTTGCCTTGTGGGAGTATTGTTTTTAAATCACTTCCTAATTTAATTGGAGCAACAAGTACTAAATGCCTTTGCAAACACCTCTCTGGTGTTGTCTTGTCACCTTTTTTGTCTGCCTCTAAAATGCAAGCAACAGTTTTACTGCAGCAGAGCATAACAACTTCTACTGCACAAATGGGCCAGCTAAGCCATAATTTAGGTATTTATTTCTGTTCACCACCTGAGTTTACAGATGAGATGGTGATGATGATGATGGCTTGTTAATGAAATAACTACTAAAGACTAGTGCATAACATATTCATAATTTCACAATACTGAGTTATAATGCATGCATAAACACACTTTCTTCCTCCCTCATCTTCTATTAAAGGTCTTATAATTTACTTTATATTATACACTTATGTAACAGAATAAATGAAAATTTCATGTTTAAGTACTCTAAAATTTTAAACAGATACTTAATTTGTTTTTAAATCAGCATCGATTTTAATGTACCAAGTTTAAAAATAAAATTATAAAATTAGTTTCACTGCTTACCGGTCTCAATACTTCCGAATTTAAATTGCGCCAACTCTTCATTTGCTGCATCTTCAAAATCCTGACCAGTTATTTTGCTAACAGCATCTAAGTCCACATCACGTGAATCACTTTTAAGCATTTCTTCCTGTATTCTTAAAAAATTAAAGTAACCATTGATATAGGACCTATAATAGCCCAGTATCTAGATACTCATTTTTGATTCAATAATATAATGCAACCTTAGATAAAATCCCAAAGCAGGAGGAATCACCAATGAAAATGAAATTATTCAGAGAAATTTAAGAAGCTTATTTGCATGTACTCTTTGGCTAAGTTTCATCAAAAAGAAATTTGCATTGTTAAATAAAAAGGTCAAAACTGTATGATAATTCTGCCAATCTGGAATGTGGTTACATAGCATAACCTCCTATATACCAATAATAGCAGTCCTCTGTGCTTTTATTGTTATACTCAATGGCTTTAAGCAGGAGTTGAAGTGAAGAGTTCACCCACCATCATTTTTTGTAGTTTTCTTTAAATATGCCATAAATAAAAAACATGTCATACACTAGCATGCATTAAGGGAGCATTTCTAATATATTTCACAGAGCATGTATAATTCAAATTTCTTTATCACCTACAATGTATACTAGACCTTAAAATTACTTAAATGTCAAAAAATTTATTTCTATATAAAGCTAACTCGAAACATGAAATTTCTGCTTCTCTCTCCAAAAAGATCGAAGATATAAAGATCGAGTATATAGGAAAATAAAGCTATTATGTTTACTATACTCAAGTATTACTCACTTATCGTTTTCTAGTCTGATTTCATGGTCTGACTTTAAACTTTTCTCAACCTCCATAGTCCATAACAATTCCTTGTACTTCTTTTGCATATCATTAAGTGGTGGTGTGACAATAGGCAACCTCTCGACACAGACTCCAGTCATAATATCCCATTGCAATTTTGTACTAACTCCTTCAAGATAATAAAATAAAATTGAATAACACAATACGTTACAAAAACACTATAGATAGCTATAAAATGGAATAATAAGATAATTACCTCTCATGAATACCCGCAAATATAAATTTAATTCTGTACGCAATAAAAACCCTTTCAGTAACATTTTTGTTTATTAATGAAATTTATAAAATATCTTTTGACTTCTAAACATAACCTTAAATGTAAATGTTTTTTTTTTAATAGTATAGTAATAGTACTAGCTACTAGGCTCTGGATTTCTCCATACAGCATAAATTATTGACATTAAAAATTGACAACTTGCCATGAGTTAACAATGTGTTTGGGCTGAATACTCGAGCGTCCTTCAAGTACACAGCCTCAAGGAGCATATTATCTTAAATCGCCACTCTAACGTCTTCAATAGGAAAAGTTGTGTGGGATTACTTTTACTTTACGTCGCGAACGCGCTCAAGAAAGTCTGCCATAAGAGTCAAATTTATAAGCTACTCTCTAACTAAACTTTGTCAAATTGTTGATTTAAATAACGTTGATGAGGCCCTTCATTTTTGTTGGACTAATTTTTCGGTTAACCATTCCGCGAGAAAACAGTGCGCACTAGCTCTAGCACTCTAGCTAATCATCATCATCAGCCGCAAGACGTTCACTGTTGAACATAGGCCCTCCCTCTTAGAACCCTACAACGAACGACACTTTGCCCTTTGCATCCACCAGTTGCCCGCGACTCTTATGATGTCGTCGGTCCACCTAGAGGGAGTCCTTCCACTTAGTAAACCTCCAATAATGCCATAATGCCCAATAAATATATGAATAAATAAATAAATAAGCGATTCATACAGACTCGTGTCACTATGAGTTCGTTGGCGAATATGAATTCACACAGATTAGACCCCCGATTCGCAGTCAATACACGATATCCACATTTGAATCGCCTATGCCATGTTGTTAATTGGATTCGTTATTAAATAGCGAAACTATGTCCGATTCATTGCCAGTTACGTAAATAAATATGGGACTTTTAAGTTTCGTAAGCGAATTACTTTTGGAAACCAATGATTTTCGTAAATCTTGTGTTTGCTGAAATGGATCAATTTTCATTATCATGCCATGAGACAGTTTAATTGATTTACCACATCTACAGAGATCATGGATTCGTAGCCGTGGGAAAAACTAATGTGTAGTGGCCGTGGACCAGTTTCGCTTCTGTTTTTTCCTTTCCTGAATCCATGATTCGGCTACCTGCGGACCTCTTCGGATTTCCGAAAAAACTGTCAAAGCCGACGTAGCGGACAGCTAACAACGTATGCACTACACGCAAAAACGTTGTTTTTATATAAAAAAAAATATCCTAAAAACGTTACGGCAATATAAAAAAGGATGTTTTTACATTAAAAAAATCCCAAATTTATCGTTATGGCAATATAATTGTCATCACTCATCTAACTTTTCAGTAATTTTCAGTCAATCAGTAGTATAATTTTTAATATTTTCGATATATTTTTATCTGAATTTTAATCAATAATTATCATGAGTACTTTTTGAACTTTGTACGTTGCTTAGATAGTGTCATTAAAAAGAAGAATTTCTTTTTGACCTTATATAGAGGTTAAAAAGAATAGATAATAAAATGGAAATCGAAATCGAAACTGTAGGCGATCAAGAGATGATACTTGATCAACCACCAAAATTAGGCCTAAAATTATCCCTAGATCATGTATTTCCTCTACAGAGTAAACAAGTTATCGTACCAAGGCCTAAGCAAATGTTCGAAATGATGCCTCTTTCAGCAAGGTAAATGATTTTTTTTATTCTTTATATTTTTGCATATAGGAATCTTAGATATCGCTATCATAATAGAAGCAAGTACCCTTTGGAACTTACCAATTTTATTAGTTGTATAAATTATGTGGTTATTTGGTCCACTCCCTTAATAACATTGACTTCCTGAAATATTACTAAGCAATCCATTCAAAGACCATTGAATGGGAAATTTTGGATGTGAATACACTTTTTTCATGCATCCTAAATGTCTTGTTCTCAGATATCTTAGGTACTATTTAGGGAGAAAGATGCAAAAAAGACGACCTATTATGGATTATATAAACATGATTTCAGCACAAAGAATGTATGGTAAGGAAACAAAAATTGCTCATCTTTTTCATATTTTAAATTTCATTGAAACATATATGTATTATTTAATTTGCAAATAATAAAAAAATATTCTCTTTAGGGTGTCCAATTGGTGGAATAGGAGGTGGTACTATTGGAAGAGGATTCAAAGGAGAATTTTGTCGATTTCAACTTTATCCAGGCATCTATGAATATGTAACAGTACCAGAATGTCAATTCATTGTCAATATTAGAGATGGCAAGAATGAAACCATATTTCAATCAGTTTTATCTACATATAGGTATTTATGAAATTATGTTATGTTAAATGTATGGTAAAAATATCAGTTTCAGTTTACGATTTATTCTGTAAATTAAAAGGCTGCTTACAAATTAATTTATGTAATTATTTTACTAGTAAACCAAAAAAAGCACCAGCATCATGGGAGTGGAACTTGAAGGGTTCAGATTGTGAATACACCGCTTTATACCCTCGGGCATGGACTACATATGACTTGTCCAAATATGGCATCCGACTTGTGTGTAGACAAATATCACCTGTGATACCTCATAATTATAAGGTAAAAATAAATATTTTATTAATTTAAAGCAATATACAGAGTGTCGTTATCAACGTGACAATAAATGAACACATATTATAGAGGATACATTTTAAAAATTGTATCAAAAATTTACATTCTTAAAACATCAATATTTACAGTCATTAAATTTTGCAAAACAAACAATTTTAGGACATCCTTACGTATAAAACTGTAACGTAAAGTTCATTTGTAAAGGTCACAAAGCATATGAATGGGTTGAATGAATTTAAAAGAGACAAAATATGCTGTTAGAACGAATGTGGCAATGAATGAAAAATTCTCTGAATGTATGAATCAGTCAGTTGTAGTTGTATAGGATGCTAAAAATTTTGTTTCCTTTTTACTTAATTAGTTTCTTTGAAACAAAAATGAGTTTACAGATTTAAAGGGTGCTTTGTATTTACTTTTAACTACAATTCTAGGGTTGTAGATGCATTGCCACCTTTTACTAAAGTGGGCCCTGGTTACCTCACTCACCAGACGAAACGCAGAAGTATACTACTTTGGATGCATTTCACTCCAGTGGTAGCACATAACCATCTTCTTTAATAAAAATTCGGAGGTATCTTTATTCCAAAAGCCTTGTAAATTATCATTGTTGTCATATTGGTGTTTCATAGGTTGCAATATTATATTATGATGTCTTTTCATTTGTGTTCTATCAAAAAATAATATACTAGTTTTGTTAAAATGTTGAGTGAATCATGTTACAATAAAACAAATATATTGAATCATCATCATCAGCCGCAATACGTCAGTAGACCTCCCCTTTAGAACACCACAACCAATTTATTTTATTTATTTTATATTCAATAATGTCTTAAATTTTTAGGATAGTAGTTTACCATGTGCAGTATTTGTATTTTCGGCAAAAAATGTTTGTGATGAACATCGGGATGTAAGCATCACATTTACCTGGACAGAGGTGCTAGGAGGGCCAAACAAAAAAAAAACAATTGGTAAGTTTGAGACGTTTTTTACATTAAGGGGCCAGTTTGTCCGGGGAAGTACCACAGCTTCACAGAAGACATCTGATACTCCTGTTTTTCTTCCAGTCTATGAGATACACAGAGTCCATGTTTAAAAGGGCTTACATTGTATATTACATTATTTGGGCATTAATGGTAGTGATGACTTAACCTAAGTTATTGATTGCTAATAAAATAAAACAGCTTGACAAAGTTGTAAAGAAATCATAATGTAAATTTCCCTGCACATTATTACTGTAGTATCTCCTTTATTGGTTGATGGACTTTCCCATTTAGTTCTTTATTCATGGAATTTCATTTCAGAATGTTTTTCGATTATAATCATGACAAAAGCAATTTTTAAGATCAGCAGGTCTCAATGCTTGTAATAAAAAAAATATATTTCTTATGTGTCAAAGTTTACCAATTTAATTTTTTATGTTGTAGGTAAATTAGATTTAGAAAGATATTCAGAAGAATTTACCTGTGGCATAACATTAGAGCAGAAGATTGCTGATACACCATGCACTTTCACAATAGCAAAAAAGAAGTGTAACAATGAAACTATCCACCAAGGCTACTGCTTGTGGAATTCCACCAAAACCTCTGCTTACGTATGGGAATGTTTAAAAAAGAATGGAAAGTTGCAGCCCGATCCAAAACTGTCACCACCGCCGCCTATGTTGCAAGATAAAAGCACTGAAAAAGATAACAAGAAAAGCAAAGACAAAGATAAACCGCATAAGATTTATAAATGTAAGTAAACAACTACACATTGTGTAATTCAATTAATTCTTTCTGTTTTATACATAGTATTTCTGTTTATGCCATGGTAGCGTAGCACTCAATTTATTTCATTATATTTAAGAGCAGCCAGAATGCAAATATTCTGACAAAGATTATATTGAAAATTAAATTTTAAGTGATGATTTATCATGTGTTTGTCAGTGAAGGAAATCACCATGACTAAGCTTATGTTCAACTAATAAAATGAAATACACAAAGTGAAGTTTTGAGTTGCATGATGAAGTATTGTATACTTTTTTTTAACAAACTAAGAGAAACAATTTAAATATATTGAAATTATATTTATATCTGTTCTACTTCTGGGCAAAGGCCATAGACTTCTAGGCTGTAGTTGTATAGTTATTGTCATTGGTACATAATTTCTAATCATAATTTCTAGTAAAGAATGATATAAAGCATGAACTATAATCTAATTCTCAGGTGATTCAATAGGACTTTCAAGTTCTATAAGTTTGGACCCTGGGGGAAGTGGATCAACTGAGTTTAGCCTTGTCTGGGACATGCCTGTTATAAAGTATAAGAAAGATAAAAAAATACACAAAAGGTATGTCAATGTACCTAGATTATTTTATGTAAAAAAACAGAATGAGTGTATGTCAATTTTTAATGACAATGTGAGCAGAATGTTTCGGAAAATAATATAATATACTATAGTTTGTCTTTTTTAAAATCGCGAATAGTTTAGAAAAGGGCATTGTGACTGAAAATTATTATAGGAACGCAAATAGACATTGCAAACACTGTAAACAATTTTGGCCACACAAATAGTAGTCCAGATTAGGAACAGAACGCACGATTGGTGACGCCCAAGACTATGTATTAGCTACTGCGCCAAGCAAGGTACCACTAATTTCTGGTCATGCCTGTATGTATCCTTAGATGTATGAAGTATTAAAAACTTAATTTGTAATAATTCAATTCTACTGAAAGTTGTGACTTTACAGATATTATACAAAGTACTTTGGTAGCGATGGCATAGCCGGTGCTAGTATAGCTGCATATGCGTTAAGGAATTACAAGAACTGGGAGAAACAGATTGCAGAATGGCAAGAACCGATTTTTAATAACAGGTATCAGTCTTTACAATTACTCCTATTAGTAGCTTACTTTTACTATGATTTTAATACAAATATACCCAAACACTTTACTAGCAACATCCCAGACTGGTTGAAAAGTGCCTTAGTGAACGAGCTTTACTTTGTTGCTGACGGAGGGACTATTTGGTACGACGTTCCTGAGGAATATCCCGAGACTGATCCAAGGTAAACATATTTTAGAGCTATATTCAATAGTGTAAATTGAACTAAAATAGTCCTAACCTACATTGAACTAAGAAAGATGTACAAAATGTTATTCAAGAACATTTATGGTAATAATCTTTAATAATAATTTGTCACCATACGTGATTATTACCATCCTCAGAGGAAGAATGTTGTGTTGTGTTATAATGTAAAGTTTAAAAACAGAAAATTTTAATGTAAGAATTTGATTTGAGGCCCTGCCTGCCGATGGATTTTAACTGTCATGAAGGGATGACAATTACACAATACACCAATGATGTTCAATAATATAGATGACGCATGACCATACTGCGCGGCATTTAAAAATTGTTCCGCTTCACATTCATTGGCCATTGAAAAATTATATATTGTGCATTACTTTAAATTTCAGACATGAATTTGGTTTATTCGGATATCTGGAAGGGCACGAGTACAGAATGTACAACACATACGACGTACACTTCTACGCATCCTTCGCTTTGGCGCAGCTATGGCCCAATTTACAGGTACATTTGTTATGTATGTAATTATTTTAGTTTTGCAAGCTACATTCAACATTTTGGAAAGTTTTAGTTTTTTATATTCTTGTAAAAGTAAATCTACTTAGATTATTAAAAGCTTAATAGAAGATAAAAATATAATAGTATTGGTCCAATACAAATTTTAATGTGCCTTGGGCGTATTTAGTTTGAAATTTACTTAATTACAGGTTGTGCTGCAGTACATGTTCCGCGACACAATAGCAATGGAGACTGTTAAGTGTAGGCAGTCTTTATACGACGGGAAGTCGGTCAAATTTAAAATTAAGGACTCGATACCGCACGACTTGGGCGATCCGGGTGAGAAATTTCTCCATAAAAAAAAACTTGATACTAAAATCAATCGACAACATTTATTCAGCGAATAGTTTGCTAGACCACGGCTATTAGATATTCAAATGAAGATGTATCGTAGATATGTGAAAGTTAATAAGGCATTTTATTTATTCGGTGGCGCAGTTGCTGGGCAATTGGCTTTGGAACCAGGGGTCGTGGGTTCGATTTTCATTTGGGATTAGTATGTGTGTGATCCATTGAACCCCTGGATGAGATAATCGCTCCCCGTTTATGTCTAAAATACTGTATAATATTTTAACGTTTTGCGGAAAAAATATGAAAGCGGAGGATAACTTTTTTTTGTATCGGGGGGAAATCTTCAAAAGATACCCTGTCACCTTATGATAGGATTATGTGCGGTTTTTACCCACTAAAACCTACTCGGTGGCCAACTAATGTACGTTTGGAGGGGACTCCGGGATCTCCCACGGAATGCACCGGTGTCCCTCGGTACAACGCGTGAGCACGGCTTAGAGCAGGATAAACTTTCCCCGACTCCCTCGCGATAAATGAAATATATGTTTGTTATTTCGATGATTAAATGATTCGATTTGATTTAAACTAGATGGCGAGTCGGTTCAAGTTAACACGTTGCTATTCCGCTAAGAAATCGCGGCTTCGAGGAAAAACTAAATTAATGGACGATCTCTTATCGGTTTCGCAGAGGACGCGCCGTTCACGAACATAAACGCGTACAACATACACGACGTGAGCGAGTGGCGCGACCTGTCGCTCAAGTTCGTGCTGCAGGTGGCGCGCGACCACCGGCTGCTGCGCGCCCACTGCGCCCCCTTCGGCGATGAGAGGTTTTTTCAAATTTTTTTTATTCGAAACTGGCCAGCGCTCGACTGCCATCCCACCTGATGGTAAGTTACGATGAAGCTGTTGATGGTAAGCGCGCTAGCTCAGTGAAATCCTATTCATTCTTGCCTTGAAGACGCCTACGTTATAGTCAGAGGGAAAGACGGAAGCCGGCAGGTTGCTCCATTCCTTAGCTGTACGGGTGGTGAATGACGAAGCGGACAGTTTCGTTCTTGGTCGAGGAAGGGAGGAGCCCCGCCGAATGCCTAGTTTTAAAGTTTTTTAGTTGGAAGAGGCGGGTGGAATCAGATCGTGCAACTCCAACGCACAGTTCCAAATGCAGGTGCCGCGCGCTCGCGTACATCGACGACGTGCGCGACGGCGACGAGGACGAGCTGTACGCGCGCGCCACCGGCCAGGCGGTGGGCGGGTGCGCTCGCGCCGGCGGCCGCCCGCCGAATGCGGAGCCGCAGCGGCCGCACCGCAATATATTGGAGCTGCTGTACAGCGGCGCGTCGCCCGACGAGGACGAGTGGCCCGAGCGGCCGCCCGAGGAGGTGGAGTGCGGCGCGGCGTGGGACGCGCACGCCTACCTGGCCGACATGTACCCCGCGTGCGCGGCGCTGCTGCGCAAGGCGCGCATCTGGGACGCCGACGGCGACGGCCTCATCGAGAACGGGGGCTTCCCCGACCAGACGTACGACGCGTGGGTCATGGCCGGCCCGAGGTGGGTGCTCGCCGGACGTTTTTGTATTTTCACCTTATTCTCGTGTGGAGGGGATGGGGTGGTAGGACCCAACGAGCACTGCGACCTGGAACGGGGGATTCCCCGACCAGACGTACGACGCATGGGTGATGGCCGGCCCGAGGTGGGTGCTCGCCGGATGGTGTCGTCCCGCTCGCTCTTGTATTTGTATTAGGAGTATTAGGAGTTTAAATTACAGAAATTTCACGCGGACAAACATTCAGATCCGAAAAACTTTTCTGTGGGTGCCAGAAATAGTTGTATCGTCTGGGAATCGACCCCACGACAACCGGCCCGAAGCTAATACCTTGATCACTGTGCCACGGAGTCATCAATAGCTCGCACTTAGGGCGACGCAAGCCTTGGACAAAGAAACCGTAGATCGGCTTTTGTGGTCAATATGCCTTTTTTACCTTTGAGGAGTGAAATAGTGTTTAAAGAAAATGAAGGGAGATGGGTTGGATGATTTTTTGAATGTTAATTACCAATTGCCGTGTCATATTGAAAGGATGCGTCCAAACTTATATATTTATTTTCCGATTACAAGGTTTTTATGGCAATCTAAAGTACCAAAACTGACACTAGAGACAAACCAAAATATATATAATTAAAATCCAACTGAATCTCAAATCTCGCACGTTGAATATGAATTTTATTAAGCAATTGGTTTGTGCGCTCCCATTCTTTCTCAGTAATGTTGTTTGTCACAGCAGCTGTGGGTTACACGGCTGCTGTGTTATAAATGAACACAATGGAACTGCGTCATAACTAGTTTGCATTCGCTTTTATGTACCACACTTTGAAACTTCGAAAAGTACGCAGGCAATACGCTTACATACTTATACGCACGAACACAGACGCAAGCATATAGACGCACGCAAGCATACGGATGCATCCACGCGTCACTACTCTTGTAGAGCGTACAAGAGCCTACAATTGTTTACTCCCCAGCGCGTACTGCGGCGGCCTTTGGGTGGCGGCGCTGAGCGCGGTCAGCACCATGGCGCGGAGCCTCGGCTTCGAGGAGGACGAGAGGGAGTTCTCGAAGCTTCTGGAGCAAGCGCGAACGTCATACGACGAGAAGCTCTGGTCCGGCGCCTGCTACAGATTCGACACGCGCCCCTGCAACCGCAACGTCGTGATGGCGGACCAGTTGGCGGGTCATTGGTGAGTGCAAGATTATGATGAGCCCTCGCGTTCTTATACGTCAGTACAGATGGCGCTGAAGCTGAAGCTCGTCTGAGCGCGAAGAGCGAGATCAACAATGTTACCCTCTCGGTCGCGCTGCCGTCCAGATTAGATTGGCCACGACAGATTTTATTCTTATGATATTAGTGAGTCGGTGAGTTAGTAGTGTTATATTTTATTTCATTAATTACGACTTGTTTACTTATTAAGATGAGCTGCCTTTATCTCTAGCTGACTCCGGCTTTTGCAATCTTAATGTTATTGCTTTGGTTGCACAGGTTACAGAAGACCGGCGTGAAGTGTTATAATTCGCGTTTAATCTGGTAAAAAAACCTACTCACTTGCCAGCAAGGCATAGGCGCACACGTGTCAAAAACACTTACCGGCAATATACAGGCGCACAAGTGTACAAAGCTTTGTGAACGAGAGTGCTACGATGCAAGACAAAAAAAGGGGACCTAGAAAATAATAAATAATACTAATAAATTATACTACAATTATATTTATGTGTTTGTTTCGCTTGTGCCACATGAAAGATCCACTATCCCCTCGTCAGGTACTTGCGCGCCTCGGGCTGCGGCGAGCCGGTGTTCCCCGAGGCGAAGGTGAAGAAGGCGCTACGCACCGTCTACGAGAATAACGTAGCGCGCTTCTGCGGTGGCCGAATGGGCGCGGTGAACGGCTACGTGGCGGGGGCCCGCGGCCGCATCGACACGACCGCCATCCAGAGCGAGGAGGTGTGGACCGGGGTCACTTACGGCCTGGCCGCCCTCATGATCTACGAAGGTAGGTGACGGTCGCTGCCATGGCGATTTCTCTCGTTCGAACAATACTTGTAAAACGACATTTGAAATTGTTTTTATGCCGTAAAGGATATAACAATAGATGCACCTTAATATGCGAAAAAGCAATTTAGATGAAATACGGCGAGATTTTCGTCGGTATGACAATCAGCTGTTTAGCTTGGTGGTTACACGTCTGAGCGCGAATCCGTAAGACGTGGGTTCGATATTATATACGATTGTATAACTTTCAGGTATGCATGAAGAGGCGTTCGCCACCGCTGGTGGCTTGTATCACACTCTGACCCAGATGGGCCTATCATTTGAGACCCCGGAGGCGCTGTACGAAAATGGCAACCATCGCTCCATAGGCTACATGAGGCCCCTGGCCATATGGGCCATGTACCAGGCCATCGTCGCCAGACCGCCTCAGCCGGTGGCCACATTGGCCAACGGTCAGCCGCGCAATGCCAAAGAGAACACTCACTTATAATATTCGCCCAAACAGATTCGCTCTGGAGGATCGTTTATGCCTCTAGTCTTCTAATAATTGTCTACTTAGTAGACATGGAGTATCAGGGCATTTGAATATTATTTCGTAACGTATTATAAAATAATGTAACATTGTAACGGCACTGGTTGAACTGTATGCACCCTTGCGTAGATATGTTGAAAACTTTTTTTATTTTTATTTTTTATTTAAACGAAGGCAATAAACCGTTAGAGTTAAGCCATTTAAAGGAGTTTGATGTGTTAAAATATAATTTGAAAAGAATCATCTAAATGCCGAAGCTAGCCAGAGTTAACTATAATCTTAAGTCGTCAAAATTAATCGCCAGAAATCCTTAAAGAAGTCTAATTTTGAATAGGTATTCGCAGATTAATCAATGCAAATTATGAAATTTTCAAAATCAAAGATCATGTAACAAAGCTACAAAATAATTATACAATATTGTGTAGGCTGCACAAACATCGTTCGCTATTTATGAACGTGATAAGCCGTGACAATGTAATATTTTAATTAAATTTTATAATTTTAACAATATTATTTAATGTTTTGTTTTGTGTTAATATGAATGCAACTAAGGTGTGTGATTTTTAACTATTCTAACTAATGAGAGGCTCAAGGTAACTCGATTTATAATTCATTCAAATAATTTCCACTTTACCTGGATTTTTTTGTTGCTGAATTCTTTTTATGGAAATTATTATCTTCTAGAGATTTCTCTTTATTAATTGTTGTTTTTTTTTTAATTTTTTTTATAATCCCATGGCTTTATTTAGTAGACACTAAACAACACGCTTTTAACGTTTAGGTTTTAAATTTTTCAAAAGCGTTATATTCATTGTTAATCGAAAGTTACAATAATCGAATAGGATATTTGCCGAGCCTTCGCAAATCCTATCAAGTCTTTTACGGTTCACTTTACTTGAGTCTCGCTTGTGTTACCATTATTTTATACTTTTTGTAATTTTAATAATAAAGCATTTTTTTTTTTCGCAAATAATCTTATTCAACATTCAAACATCTTGGACAATTCGACACTGAAGTGTGTTAAAACTATTTTTATTGACTCCAAAAAGACAAGAATTGTGATATTTCGTGCTAATATATAAGTGGTTAATCACGTGATTTTATATTGGAGAGCATTTACTGTTTTTTTTACGAAACAATGGTCTATGTACCAGGAGATGCAACGAAGATGTTCAAGTGATTTATATTTAATAAAATAACTTTACATTTTATATTTTATACAAACTGCCGCTAAAGTATTCGAATGTACAAATCAAATTTATTGTTTCGAGTCTGAGTTTTATTTTATTTATTCGATCCGTTCAGTATTTCTGTACATTTTTATTAATTTAGTAGTACACTATTTTTTGTTATAAATTATTTTTCTTAAATATGTTTATTGACAAACGGCCTTTAATAATGTATTATTGGTGGGAAAAATGCAATACAACAGCAATATATTTCAACTTAAAATTTATTCATGTATTGTAGGCAGATATAAATGCATTTTCGGAAAGTTAAACATAAAAATGCTAATAAAGTACCTAAATGTATAAAATTGTTTTATTTTTACTATAAAAAGCCTTTCACAAACTTCTCCAATAGCTATTTCATTTATTACTCTATTTTTACAACAATAACTATAATAAGGCGATATATTTGTTACATACCTTATTTATTACCTTATGTATACGACAATAAATAAAAACTGTATGTCTAGTGAAAGTACTTAGATCTATTTACAAATTATTTACAATGAGTTATGCAGTGTGTTTTCAGTCTTTGTTTTTCAGTTAACAATTCACAACATTCAGTGCATATAGTAATATGCAAAATTTTTCGACTATTTTTATTGACATTTTAGTGTAATACTAAACCAGATAATGATTCGGCAAGTATTAACCAAAAGTTTTCCAAATTATGTGACAGCAAATAGGCAGTTGCCAAAGCTCCATAATATAAACAGTTCTAATAATGCGTAAACAGGTTGACAAAGCTTTTATATCCCAAGGACAATGTCTCCCATAACGACTTCCTTGAAAAATGTCCCTATCATTCCCGAAAATTTATGGCCACCTCATGTTTGGGAATAAATATAGTCGGGAAGAGACAGCCGGAGCATTAGCCATCTCATTCTACACAGTAACGGTCAAAACATGTGACAGCTTTTCGTCGTATGTATTACTCGTGCATGTGTGTGTCGTCTATGTGTGCGTCGCTGAGATGTTCATGTACATATGGGCGGGGTCGCGCTCGTCGCACCTGCCCGCCTTGTCGCGCGGGGCGAAGTTCATTCTCAAATGGGTCCCGTTGCGCGCCTCCGTGTCGCAGTCCAAACGCTCCCTGGATGCGGACGCCTCGCGCTCCACTATCGTGGCCATGTGTTGGCCCCTGAAAGATGGAAATGCACATCACGACCGTGCACGACTCGGTGCTGGATGTGCTTAAGCTATTACCGTGGTGGGACCACGCGAGAGTGCTCGCTGTTGCACGAACGGGCAGGTCCGTCCGGGTAAGCACCACGATCTCACAGAAGACGGGCGTAAAGTAGCAGTATTATGCCTGGCGAGTGAGGTAGCAGGGCCCACTTTATATCAAAAGGTAGCAACGCATCAACCCTACGGGTGTTGCAAATGTAACATCAGGTGAACCGCAAGCTCGTTTGCCACCATTTCACATTAAAAAAATATATTTACTGAGGAGCTAGGAGTTCGTGGGTTCAACACCTACATAAGAAGCATTCGTGTGAGCCACAGATAATTCCGCATATGGTAGTTTATTCTCAGGGACGATCGACGAAATACCGCTCAGAACCTGATCTATCTAGGTGGGATAAGGGAGTGATCTCGACTTAAATTAAGACAATATTATCAAGAAGTTCGCCGTCTTGTTACTAACAAGTTGTTAGTAATATAGACAGCAAGATATGCTCCACAGTCACGTGTTATTTTAGGGCGGATACCTAATGGCGTTCGTAGAGAGATCGAGACAAGTTTACCGTATTTACTGAACACGCACTGGCTATCTACAGCTCGATAATAACTAGTGCGTGTTTAAAAAAAACTCACCTGTTGTCGTGTTTTGGATGGCCGAAGGTGGTGAACTGGGGCGCGTTGACCAGAGGGCGCGGCGGAGGCGGCACCAGATAGTCGTCCAAACGGCCATCTTCACACGCCGTGTGCATCGTCAGCGTGCTTGTGCTGGATACCTGTACAGTTATAAGAGTGATAGAGACGTGGTATCTTCTACTGCTAAATGAATTGGCTGGGGGTCCAGGGTACTTCCCGATCTCTATATCACAATCTCAAAAAGCGAAGTGAAATATTCCACTTCTGTGTTTCGACTGGAGACCTAATCGACTTAATGATTAGTAATCCAAATTTATTCAATGTGATGTGACCTTTCTTATATTTACTTGTTCATAACAACTTTTTAAGTGTACTTTTCCAATTTATTTAAGAAAACAGGCAAAAGGATATCATTCGAAGATCAATTTCTTCATTCTGTAAGGTTTGTACCCTGCCACTTTTTTCTTAGACTTCTATTTTAACGCTTATTTCTTACAATTCGCAGTGATTCAGTCAGGATACTAAAGGATAAGATATAAAAGATAGGATATAAAAGATATAGTAAGAGGTATTTTACGTGATCATGTATATGCATTACAATTCTAGACTCACAATAGATCTGGCTTTATCATCAAGTTCGGACTGTACGCTGTTGGTTTCCGCCACGCTGCCACCGCTAACTGTACTGAGTCGACCGGACGAAGAGGAACCTGGCAGAAATGATAATTTAGAAATATTTCCCAAAGTCAAACCTTAATATGAGCGTTGTGTTATCTTGCTTTAAAATGTTATACTATATGCTCTCATTATCAAAAAGTAAATGGAAACGTTTATATAAATAATGCTTACTGTCACTCAAACTACTATTTGGGCGAGTGCTGCCATTCCTCTTTTCAATAGTGCCCGTGTTGCTATCATGATCTGAAAAAACAGGCGACGCTATAAATGAATTTTGTTGATATTTTCTTAGAAAATATTATAATATTTTATAGATTAAAGGTAATTCGAATATGAAAGACATAAGTAGACTGATTCTACTTACTTTTGCCCTTACTCTTTGAGAACATCTTTTTGACTCTGTCGAATGGCGTCGGCCTCTTCATTTTCTCTTTGATCTTCTGCTGAATCTTGTCATACTCCTCGCGCATTTTGTTCAGCTGCTCCTGCTTCTCCTTCAGCGACTGTTGCGTTTCATTCCTATTCCGCCACTCCATCACGAGTTTCTCCACTTCGGAGATGGTGAACACGTTATTTTTGAAGTCGTTGATGATCTCCGCCAGCTCTTCCTGGCCGGTTAGGGGACAAGACTCCTTCGCGGCCTTCAGGCTGCCGCTGTTACGCGCGTTGCCGTTCAAATTTATCTGGCTTATGTCACTAGTTGGCGTTTCAATGTTGAACGACTTGTTGGTCTCTTCGGTGGGTGAATAGAGGAATATTTCGGACTGCTGCGGCAGTAGACGCGAGCTGTTCGCGTATAAATTGTTCGGCCGGAACTTGGGGCTCTCTTCTACTTTTATGTTAGACGGTTGCACGAGGTAGTCGTGTTCGATCGCTTGCTGGATCCTGCCGGCGGTGTCGTCGTGCGCCGAGAAGTCGTTCTGATAGAATTGCTCTTTGAACTTTGGCAGTTTTAGATTTGGCCGCTGTTTCTTGCCGTGCTCCGATTTCTCTGCTTCAGCGGCCGTGTCCTCCAAGTTTTGGGTGCAGGCTTCGCTGAAGGGGTCGGTGGAGCTTTCCCCCTCGAGCGGCTTGACGTCCTCGCGGCTGGGGGAATCGACTGTATCGCAACTCTCTAAAATACGCAACTCGTCCTGCTGTTTGACATCATCTTGGCAGTCGTCTTTGTCGTTGTCCGACATGTTCTTCAAGTAGTAGTACATATTGGAGAATTCGTTGATTTTCTGTAAACATTAAATTTACTTGTGGACAGAGAACTTTGAGCAATTTAATGCTTATAAAATAAGTAGTTATCTATATGTAGTTAACACTTAGATTTGTTCGTTCTCAAAGTGAAAAAAAATCTAGCCATTGAAATTTACAACACGATTTATGTGTTGTATCGAAGAATTCAATAATTTCTCTTGAGTATATATTACAATTACAGAATGTCAGTATTAAAAAAATCTCAGTCTATCGTATTTGGGAAGTAACAATTGTTCTCCTGCAAATTTTGTGAACCGGGGGTAGTGTGGGGCGTGCAAAGCGCGGGAAACGCCGACTTAGGCGCGAGAGGGCCGGGGTAGTGTGGGGTGTGCAAAGCGGGGGAAACAACGAATTCGGCGCGTGTGGAGCGTGCTGAACACTGGAAAGGACAGGCGCGAAAGGGACACCGACCATGTGATCGGCGAGCATGTCCGCCAGCCGCAGGTGGCGGTGGTCCCGGGCGAGGTCGGCGGGCGTGCGCCTGCGGGCGTTGCGCAGCGCGGCCGCCGCCCCGCCGCCCGGGCACTCGAGCAGCTGCCAGCACACGCGCTCCAGACCGAACCGCGCCGCCCAGTGCAGCAGGGTCGGGTACTCCTCGTTGCCTGCGACACGTTACTTGACCTTTCAGGCGAGACCACCCGCATAATGTGGGCTAGCGTGGCTTGTCACTGAACGTATCAGGCGCGAAATTATTGGACTAACATAGGCTAGCGTGTTAATGTAAAATAAGCTAGCATGGCTTAATAAACTCGACTAACATAGGCTAGCATGGCTTGCCACTAAACGTATCAGGCGAAAATACCCGACTAACATAGGCTAGCGTTGCTGGTCGCTAATTGTATTTTTCTTTTTATGTGAAAAGTTGTCAAACGAGTAGACGGTTCACCTGATGGTAAGTGAATACCGCCGCCCGTGGACATCTGCTACACCCGAGGGTTACAGACTGACAACCTGATTTGCTCTTTTATATTTATTTTTTTACTATTTTGTAATGAATAACCTTATTGCCGACAATAATATTCAGGTTTAAGATTATTGGAAATTTCAAACCTACTTGTTATTTATGTCTCGATTTATAAGAAATTTTCTAATTCAAATTTAGATATCTTTATTCAACATTTATTCAAAATAAAGGTTTACTTGCTTAAGTTAAGTTTAAATCGATTTACCTAATATTTTAAAGTGGTTAAGTACTCACTGCACACGTCAGCTTTAGGGTTGAATTGCTCAGAAGAGGAGAGGAGATTGAAATGCGGTGGGATGTTCTTCTGGAATGCATTGAGCATCCAACTGTCCAACTGCTCCTTGTTTGTGGTTTTAAAACCAAGTGTCTGCAATAGAAAAGCAATAGTTGCATATTACATTACATTTCCTGTATAGGTAGGCTAAATAAAAATCATATAAACTAGGAGTAGTGTACCGTTGATTGCGTTCTATAAAACAACTTAGTTATAAAGTTTATCACTTCACCTAAATTATCGTTTTATCACTGATAACATACACAACAGCCATGTACGCTTATTTACTTACAAATATTTTATTCGATGTGATATTCGTTGGAAAAACATATCCGAAACTTTATCAACAAAGTAAAAATCTTCGGAAAGGCTTACTTTATATGGAATTGTATAATCAAAAGTTTTTATTACACTCGGCAATAATGTTTATACAAACTGTCTCTAAAGAACTGCATTATGAAGTTTATTAATGCATTGAAAGGAAAAAGGAAGCAGTAGAGAATATGCTTAGTTTGATACACAGGGAGATTTTTTGAGAAGTGCCCAAATTTACACAGGAGGTTCAGACTCGGTAGTATAATCGTTTATTGAAATAAAAAACAAAGTTTTTTTTCCAAGAAAATGCCTAAATGCCATTCATAAATACCTAAATTTTACTGTGCACGAACTTGTGTGCGTGTTAGTTATGAATGAGCGCGTAAAATAAATGAGTTGCGTATAAATCAAGCACTTTTTGAGATAAGTTCAAATGAATGTAATTAATTACTTACGAGTGATTTTAAATATTTATCATTTTTTATATAACATTATTTATGTCTAGAATTATTTAAAAAAATGGATACACTTAGAAAAGCCACCCTATATATACCTGACACATGAACTCAAGTGGATGGTCAGAGGCACGCAACAGTTGATCCAGCTCCCTCAAACGGCTCTCGCATTTGATCTGCCTCCTGCCCAGCGATTGACCATTTTTGCTCACGCGCACCCAAACCAGCATCGACACTTCGAGACAAGACTCTGCGTAGAAGCAATGCTTTTAACATCACATACCACAACCGATAAGAAATTATTAACAAATGTAAATGTATATACGGAACTTAATCTTGAGCATGGTGTAAAATTATTTGGCTCATTTTTTAAAATTTAGTATATACCACATACTCTGTCATCGATTTTACGTAACTAGTAACTACACAACTCGCTCATATTTTGTTATATCTTACCTGGTATGTCGAATTGGAGTGTGTATGGATTTCTCTTCTTGAACATCGGTATGTGGATAACCTCGCCTTTCTTATCCACCATTATTTTTATGCTGTCTTCTTCCCTAATGGGATCGTTGAGCAAAGCGATGACGCGGCTCTGTCCCTGAATAAGGAATATGTATTTCAATCATCCGATCGGTAGTAAGGTTATAATAGTAAAATTGTTTTAGATGTGTGTTACATCTAAAACAATTTTACTATTATAACAAATAATTAAATCGATAGTAATATATTAAATCGACCAAAAGACAAAACGAAACAAAATGAAACAGATAGCATGACATTTATTCCTGAACACATGGTCAAAGGGAAATATTCTATGGATCTTATCACTTTTATTTTGATTTATATTTCCCGACAATTGGAACATTTTACAGCGCCTTATGATCATATTCTTTCTCGTCCTTAGTGAGATCCTTTAAATTAGTTTTATTTAATTATGTATCCTTTTTTAACCGACTTCAAAAAAGAAGGATGTTTCTCAATTCGACCGTATATATTTTTATTGTGTTTTTTTTTGTTGGAATATTTCAATGGTGGTACCATGATATGGAAACCCGGATCTGATGATGGCATCCTAGAGAAATCAAGGACAATGCTCAAATGTTATAGTTATCAACAATGTTTTTTAGTTTCCGGTTTGAAGTCGGTTTTTTTTTTGTTGAAAATTATATTATGTTGGACGAATTAGATGCACTGGGAGATGAAATAGAGAAGAGAACAATCCCTTTAAAAGCTGATTTTGCCGACACAGCGTTAAATTCTACCAATGATAATAGTCACAATTGAAGCGTAAACGGTTGTGATAGTTACTTACGATTTTAACTTTCTTTGGCACTATCGAGAAGCTAGTTCGATCGGCTGCCGTGTCCTTGCAATCTTTGGTCCTCAAAATGCCGACAGCAGCAGTCAAAAAAGTGTCCACAAACGAAGTATCCTTTTCTCGCACTGACATCATTTGCCACTGGTCGATCGTTGGAAAATCTGACAATAATGTGATTGATTAATTTTATTTTGGTAAGTGTGTATCGGTTTGCATCTATACTAATAATAAAATTGAACATCTACATGTGATCTCGAAACGAATCATAACATTTACGTGAAAACTGTTTTATAGATAAATAATTATTAATTAACGTTTAGGAGTCTATTTCTGTATATCTGTCTGTTTGAAACTTTGTTTTAAATAAACAAAGAAATTTATAAATTATTTGTTTTTTTTATTTCAATCAATTATGAAATCAAAGATTGGTTATTAAAGAATACTTTTAATATTGTGTTAAAAAATGTTTCAAATGCTATATAAAATACCGTAAAATATTTTTAAAATGGAATTATGAATATTTAATTGATTTGTCGCGACTACTATGGAATTCTATGAATTTATATGTATACATATGTGTGTATAATGTTGTTACAGTTTAAACATGAGGGTAATTTGCACTTTAATCGTGTGTAAAATGTTACATGTATTCCTTATTAATAAATATATTTACAAATTTCTTATAAAATTTAAATAACGAAAATAAAACACATACCTTCACAGTTATTCGACACTACGTGATTTTTTTCGACACCCAACAACATTACTAGAACTTTTTCAACTTTAAATAAACTTTCTGTGTTCAATTCGCGCTTCAATTCCGAAAGCTTTGAGTCCAGGTTAGGGCAAAGGATCACAATCTGGAGCTGAGCTTTTGAGAGCTTTTCTAGCTTTTCTTGCGATTCAGAAGACAAAAGCTCTTCGGCCGTTATCGGTGTCACCCTAAAAGGAATACGTTTTGATACATTTCCTAATGGTTCGCAATATATTACAATAATATTGGGGAATTCGTATCTAGATTTAAGGGTCCTTAATAAAGTCAGTGAATTTCTTTAGTAGTTTCGTTATTTTTTAATGTAATTTTGATGAAATTTAAATTTTGATTAATTATTGTTGCATAGGGGGTATATATAAGCAACATAGTGATCATTTAAAAAAATAAATGATAATTTCGAGTTTCAGGCAACATCCACAAATCCCATTTAATTGAATTGGTGTGATTTGGACTTTGTACCGTTATAAGAAGTCTATAACCATTTTATGTATTCGTGATTAGAATGTTTACCTATAGTGATGTCTGGCCCTCTGTGACATGATTTTGTCGAAGCTCGCGACCAAATAGTCTGACCAAAGACCGCTTTCCGGTGAACCCGAACTCCATAATATCGCAATATCTTCCATCTCTGCAACAAACGTGATAACTATAATGAAATGTTAATATGTAAAAATAATTGTAGAAAAATGGACATAAATTTTACGCCGCTACTAGTATTTTAGCCTGCGTCCTCCGTAATACGCGCCCGAAGCTCAAGCCACTCAGCTAAACGGCTTACCTTCATAACGACGAAAATATTACACTTTTAAACAAGGGGTGGCTTCGACCCTAGAGGTCTAGAGTGTACTTTACACATTTTTCGAGAAAACTTCAATATTTCATCATTAGTGCAGAGAACGCAACTACAAAATTTAATATCCTTTAAAAATTGTTTATGATTATGGTTAATTTTTTGGGATCGTGCAAATTTTTGACGACTTGGTCTTGTATACCATTATCGGGGTTAATGTCTAACCCTATACCGAGATTGAATACACTAACAGTATCAGAATAATAAAAATCGGGTCGGCAACTCTCCTATTTATATATTTTATGTAAGATATGCGTGGTTTTAGTTACTTGAAATGATAAAAACTTAACACGCATAACCTACGTATTGTATAAATTTCATTGGAATAGATAACTGATCGATTGTTTTTCTTCTTGAGTGCATATTGCACTAAAATTGAATATATTTATTAAAAAATTGCAAGTAATATGACAAGCATTGCATTGCATACAGCGAATTAATAAAGAGACAGAAAGTAATATTTACTTTCCTCATGTAGGTACTCAGGTTTATAAAACGAAGTTTCCTAAGTTTTTTAAAGCTATGTATTTTTAATATATTAAGGAAACTGTTATGATAACTTTGAAATGCCAGACCGTATATGCTACTCTAAATTATCATTAGGTATCTAATCTTGTAAAGATTTACGGTTAATACTTATTGCCCTTCAGACGTTATAACAATCCGTCATACAAGCGCCAACATAATACCCAAAGCTGAAAGGAAGTGTTGTCAAGGGATAATGAAGGCATGAACGATGTCGTTCACTTGATATCTTATAAAGGTCATTGGCTGGATCGAAGTTCATGTGTCTTGTAATCATAACACAGGCCATGCGTTCATAAATTTCAACGCAAACAGATTAAACATAAAGTAGATACGCCAAGTGAGTAAAGTCTATCTATAGTGCAATTTTCAGATAGCCTTATTACGTCTGTAAAACAAAAACGTACCAAATAAAAATAACGCAAAAAGGGTTACAATCACTATTATTGGTCGTAAACGTCTGAGAGGCAATTTGAATGACGAATTGCAATGACATCTGCGCGGTCGGCCATCTGCAAACGGTCAACCTTTTTAACCTTCGCCTCATTTTTAGGGTTGCGGCCTTTATCGGTATTCGAAATCGATAAATTAGACGGCGAGAACCGAGCGATTCTTTAAAAAGAGGCAATGCGCAGCACAAAAGAACTTTCGTAACAGGCAGCAGAGGATCGTAGCGCTCTAAAAACACACTTCCTTCCATAACGCGCACATGAATGGAAACATGCGTTAGCTGTTAAAAATTTATTGCATCCAGCGACGAGCATGCTCATCGGCCGCTTACAAAATATGCTATGCACCACGCGCACCGGAAACCCACACGGATTTATACTTACACACCTCTGCCGCCAAATGAAGACCCGTCTAAATGTAATATCCGTTTCCTAAATAGACAAACGTCTATCGTCGTCGCCCAGAATAAATATGGCCGATTAAGCACATAGCTTTGGCGCCTTTTGCACCGATTGTTACCCACGTGCAATCGAGCGATACAGTTAGAAATATTCGATCAGAAAAATTACACAAACGTTTGAATGTTAACAAAATATTTCAATAAATTAACAATTGCACGCAGTTGGTTTTAATTTATAACAATTTAAAATTATTATTTCAAAAGTTAGATTTAAATTGCAACAGTAAGAATAAATTGCTATTTTTATCGCAAAGCATTCTTTCTGACCGGGTGGTCAAAATTAAGCGAAGCACCAACACATTTGATGTATAGCCACTTGTAGCATGTAGGCCACACTAGATTTGTTGATATTCAATGTACCGATATATCATTTCAATGGACCGCCTCTTTGATCTCTAGAGAGAAATACTTCAAATCCTTTTACGGTTTCGATGGTTAAAATAGTTTCGGATAGATAGGAAGTACTTTGTCTTAACCCTTGAGTTAGAGTATAAACTGGAAGAATTAAGTTCTTTATTTATGCAATATGCTATTTGAAACATAAATGAAAATAAAAAAAGTTAAATTAAAATTATTTTCTGATAATTATTATCTTAGTGACAATACATATTTTCGTGTAATGATGGAAATTGTTACTTTTAGAAATTTCTAAAAACAGAATGCTTATGAGGTAATTACCTAATTTTTCTTTAAAAGAAAATTATTATCCTTATAGGTATTTGTCTTCAGTCTTATAAAATATTTACATGCCTCCGGCCCATTTCAACTAAAATAAATACTTAGATAGGTGAAATTTGAAGGCGTGAATTGTAGTAAGCAAAACGAATAAATATGCGATGGTATGTGTGTGTAATAACAAAGAATTTGTTATGTTTTCACTGCACGAGTTGGTCTTGTGTTGGCTCCAGATGATTCATGGTGTGAAAATAAATAAAATCGTCTCATTCTCCGGTTTCTGTCGCCCCGGCAACGCTAAATCATACGCTGCCCGGCGGCGTGTCATAATTAACTTGATAATTTCAAAACTCCGTATTTAGATAAAACGGCAATGGACGTGTATCAACCTAAATAATTGCAATTATAAATTGTTTGTTCCGCCCGACTGGCGCCCCAACATCATTACGCGTTGTCGCGCATTGTCCGAGACCATTTTATGCTTTACTCATCTATACTACTGCGCTCGCTGTTGACAGTGTTATTTCTGAAATCCTCCATAAATGCAACAATTAAAACTGACGTAAATTTCTACGATAAAACTCGAACAAGTGCGGACGCACGCTGAATGAAATAAGTGGTCCCTTTTATCGTATATTCAAAACTTTAATCGTACATATTATAGAGTAAAAAACCAAATACCTATCTCTTTTTTAAATTGATCTCAGTACCTACTTTACGCAATTTGGCAAAATGTTTTTAAAAATTAATTTGTATTCGGACCATGTATGTCGCTCGTAAATTAGGCTAAACAATGTTATTATTCAACCAAGCGGACGGCAGATTAGTCATTGTTAATTTAAATTTAAGTTTCATTAAAAGCCAGCAAATAGTGTTAATGAATTGAACGTGCTCTGTAAGTGAATGCTTACGGTTATGTTCAAAAAACTCTTGAGGGACTTAATTTACCTATTTATATACAACATCCCGTAACAATTGAAGGCTAGTTACAAAACAAAATTACAGTATCAAGAATTCAACACAGTGACAAATGTAAATGTATATAAATGTAATGAAAAATACGCTTATTTGGAATATAAAATCATAAATAATATTAGTTACTTACTAAAAAACCATATCGTAACTTTCGACTGCTCGTAAGAAAAATATATCTGTGAAGTTTTTTGGTCCTTTGGTTCCATTTAATTTAACAGATGCGGTAGTAGGATTTTTTCCGGTGTAAAAATTAAATTACTGTCAATTGTGTATGCTCTAACACTAATTAGAGACACCGACAAAAAAAACTAATCGTGCGCTATAAGCACATGTACGCAAAGGACGTAGAAATTGTGTAGAACAAAGGATCGCAGATGTCCACGGTTTGATGGAAAGAATGGTGGTACGGAAAACGTGCGGGTAGCCAACGAGGTCCTTGAAACCGGTCATTCCCAGCACCATAATATGGACTTTGATTCCATTTTCGATTGGCAATGTTAAAATAATACAGACAACGAAGTTCTATTAGGTGTATATAAAAAAATCATTTGAGAAGCCCGTTTTCATTCAAGCACTGAGGGAGTTTTTCCGCACCAAGCAGTTCAGTTAACTTTGAAACTTTGCAAATCAACACATGAAAGTACTAAAAGTTATTAAAAATCAATAATTGCGTAGAATATATTTATATTTATACGTGTAAAGTGATTCGATTAAAAAAACAATACGGTATAGATCAAAAAGTTACGTCCCGACTGAAAATCTAACTTACGATATAATTAGGTTTGATTACCTACTTAGTTTATAATATGTTTTATTACTTATTTTATGATAGCTACTTTAGTTGCGAAGAATATTAGCGATCTTTTGTTGAGACACCATCGGAGAATATATCGATTGATTCTATTCAAATAAGTTAATGTCTAAACTAGGCGTCTTCACATTGGCATGCTCCCTGCGAGTACATTACGGGAGTCGCTCCGATGCATGTAAAGTACACCATGTTTATTCTGTCAGTCCTGCCACCCTGCATAACTAATGTGATCACAGGGCTGCCTCCGCCGGACTGGCGACTTCTATCTTTACGGTTTTGTAATAGAGGTCATTATCCCCTGCGTTCTGCGCTCGGCAACGGTAAAACTTATTTGGCAAAGGTTTTACGGCGCTCCTTTGACATTGATTTCGGTTTGCCTGGACGTCTCGGCGTTACAAGTTTGACGTAGTACGGCCGCACTGTAAGTAGGTATTCGGTCGATTTCCGAAGCGAAGACAATGGGTGACGGCGGGGAGCGAGTTTAGGCAGATCCAGGACGTGTGAAGGATGAATTTAAGTATAGTTAAAGTTTAAGATGATCTCATTGTCTGCTTGCAAAATTTACATAAACTTCGATTGTCCAATTTAACGAATACATTTTTAATGTAGTGCCAGTGTTCGTATAAAATCAACATATCACAACTCGCGCGGCACTGGCGTCGGGCGACGCGCGCGCACGCAGCGCGCATAATAAACCCCCTACCCGGGCCGCCGCGCAATCGATGCCATCTCCGTCCGCAAACAATTTTGGGCCCCGAGTCAATACGATGGCCTATCGATCGCCAAACACGGGCCGTGAATGCCAACGCCGATCGATTGTGACCCATTCGCGGTTCCAGATAAGACTAATCGTCGAAAACATTACGATATCCCGTACACCGATCCGTTATCGGGGGTATGTTTGCTCCAGTTGTCGTCTTCGGCGCAATAGCTCTTGAGATTAATTTAAAGTGAAGTGGAAAGATTTGCTTCCTTAAATTTAGAGCACACACTTTTGTCTCGTGCTTTGATTTATCTGTTCAATCGCAACAGTGAGAGCTAATATTTTACGCAGGGTTCGATAAGGGGGTCAGTCAAATAGGCTGTAAATCAAAAATACCGCTTCTGTTTCCTTTGATAGATATTTCGAACGATGCTCGCAACGTTATCACTGAAGGGTCGAAGAGCTCGAGAGCAACGCTCTTAGATAACATGCTCCCTACGTCTTGACGCTATTGTTTATGGCCAGTTATCATCATTAGGCCTTTCCTTTCCGAGTACGATGTTATTCAATAATAGACGCAACCACGAAAACTTCCTTAATGTTTACCAAAAATAAGTGATAAGGAATGATAAGTGACAGAGTCCATTGTTCTGGAATGAACGCCGTCTCTATCGTCTTGGTAACGATAAATTGTATTTATATAAAAACAATTTAGTCCACATATATACAAAGGCTGGCTTACCTTTGAAAGCGAAATTCTTTGGCCGCCTTCTCTTAACGACGTCTTCGTCGAGCTGGTTGAAGCGAGGTGGTGGCATCTTGGGAACCTCACTGGGCACAGCTGTGACTTCGCCCCCACCTTCACGGACGCCACCAGTGGCCAGGTATCCCCCCACCGAGTGACGCCTCCGCCCTTGCAGCGGAATAGTGTAGAACACCTCTTCACGCTCCTTAACACCTTCAGATGTCACCACTGTTGTACTTATTTTCCCTTTCCTGGCAACCCACAAGTTCTGTTATTATTATTTTTTTAGTTGCATCTTTTTAAAAGGGCTATTAATAATACAATATCGTTCCGATTGTACCAAAATGTTTATTTACCGTACGCGTCCTAAAGACTTCTAGGCGTTTACGGGTTCATACATGATTTATTCATTACAATGTATAAACAATGTGTGCTTACACTACAATGAAGTAATAAGTAGAAGACACAAGGGCTCTAAATACAGAAAGTAAGTAAATGTTAACAAAATAAATTAATCACTTACTTCAGTCTAGGCGAAGTAAAGGTGTGTTTCATATCACTGGGCGCGCAGTCCCCAGGTCTGGGCTGACCCTTCAAGAACGCCTCTGCCTGCTCGGGTTCTTTGGCCGACAGCGACCTCAGCAGTGCCCTGAACTCCTTACGCCTGGGACTCTCGGGCTCCCTGCGTCGCGAGCTTAAGGGTCTTATGCTGTCTGACCAGACGCGTGTCGGGGCTGAGCGCGAGCATTGCTCAGGGCTAGCGCTGGAAGTGCTCGCACCGGCGCTGTCTGCGATATCATCGTCCGGAAACGCGAAATACGAAGGGTTGTCTGCAACAAATGACAAGATATAAATACTGTTAAGGAACGGGGAAAGATATTAAAAACTGTTCTATCATTGGCGATAGCAGGAGCTAAAAGCAGTATACATGGTCTTGATTGGTCCATAAATACTGTAAAGGGACTAGAAATAAATGAAAACCCTAGAGAAAGTCAAAAGTTAGAAATACAGTTGTACCACTTGTGAAATCGGCATCGTCTTGATTGGTCCCTATTCTTGGAGACGTAACATTGTGCAGAAGTCTTACCGAGGACCATAGTGTGGCGGAGAGGATGGCGCACGGCCGACCAACGATCTACGACTGGCCCGCGGGAATTATTCAATAACGACAATGGACTAACGGCTCTCCATTACGTCCACTGCGGGCCGTGTAGACCAACCTACTTTTATAAGCCGGAAAATGCGAATTGAAAGCAATCTTCGTCCCAGCATCGCCATACTTAACGCGTATATGGGGCAGTGGCCGATTTACCCTCTCCTCTCCTCTAGAGCAGCGATCGTACACTTTAAGGTGGACAGATAACATTTTATCACAGAAATTTACTACTTTATTTATTTTTTTATCTAGTTTCCATTAGGTCTAAGTTACGCGAACGCGGTCGTCGGATTTTGTCTGTTATTCGACTTTTTGTGGACCCGCATGTGCAGACTATTATTTCCAAAATGCAAGCCGAGGGCGGGAGAAGGGACAGTCCTCTTACACACGTGTTATACAAAAACTGTGACTGATGGACAATGGTCTGGATCATTTAAACAGCCATAAAGAAACATTATAATTCTTTTCATTCGTAACCGCTTTATGTGAAGCTAAATTCATTACGATCCGGGTGAGCAGTTTTATTCATCATAAGTATGAAAAAAAATTTTCTTTTCATTGAAATTAATTTTAAATAACGTTAAAAATGTTCATGAACTTATGAGAATCGAGAATCGACGTTCGGAATCGATCACAACTTTAAGATATCCTTAGTAACAGGCGAAAATCAACACGTAGTTTATTTCAATGTAAAAAAATCTATTAAAAATTTAAACGTAAACTTTAAATCAATCAAAAAGAAGATCAAATAAGAAAAAAAAGATCAAATATATTTATTGACAAAATACGTTACAAAATGTATTTACTGAGCCACGACATTTGTTTAATTTTAAAACAAATACTGTAGAATTTCGTAACAGTTATCTTTTCATTAATCTACAGTCGTTTCAAACAAACCACACAAACATGTTTGTTGTATTTTATCATGTTTCATTTTTATTTATAAAGTAAAATTGTTAAATAAAGATAAAATCATTGTAAAATTTTTGTTATTTTACAAAGATTATGTATTGAAAGAGATAAAACATCTGCTTTTGAGTAATGAGAGCGTCCGTTGTTCAATACCGATGAATCAATCCCAATTCTTGGAAAAAACTTCCAAATCTTCGAGAAACGCTAATATTTTAGGGAATAATTAACATGAAATTGACTCATAACTATATTTTTAGTATTCAGTGGTATGCTTGGAGGGAAATAAAATTTTGGAAGGAAATATTTTGGTAAAATTTTTTGATATATCATTTCACTTAGCATATCGAAATCAATACATCAAAGTAAACTTTTACTTTAATATTATTAAGCAGACAGTTGCTCAGTTCAGTTATCAATGAATAAGGATCACAACTACTACAGTATATAAATAGCATACACACCTCTTATCAATCACTGTACTATGTTCCATAGTAAATTATATAAAACACGCATTACATAAATATTATTCTCAAATATTATTCTGTATTCGATTTCTCGCAACGGACGCAACGAAAACGTGAAAACGCATGAATGAAATTCCCGAAACACATCACGGGCGGGATTTTTGCGGGATTAATAAGCACGCGGGGGCCTATTATTGGGCCTACCATTGGAACGGAACTCACTTGTGGCTCGAAGACAATAGTCGAACTGCGGTCCCATGGTAGCTGCTGGCGCGGGTTTCGGTTACTCGGTACCCTAAACACGACACATCCCGTCGAAGGCGCCGCGGGCTCTGCGCGCTGGTGCCCTGTGTCTTGCGGGGCGAGTGGTGCGCAGGTGGAAGCAGGCGCGGGCGAACGCACACGTGCGCCTCATCCACGGGGAAGAGCTTTCTCAGCACGCGCGCAGGAAGCGTCCCAAACGCCGCTGCCTCCGCGCACCGCCCCAAATGCGTCGAAATAGAAATAGGCGACGGGATTCCGCTAACGCGCGTAATAACCCACATATAAGCGGAATCACTATCTGTCTTAACACGACTGTTATTGAGTTTTTACGGTAAAAGCTCGATTCGCCGAGCTTATCGTTGTAACCGTTTGTTTGCACGAAATTGAATTAGTCTAAACGCTGCTCCATAAAACATTGAATAGTTATTATCTAAATCTAAATAAAGTGATACGATCAATTCAGGCAGTGTATGAGATTTGAATATTTTCGGATGTAACTTAAGTCACGGTTTTAACCTTCCACGTAAAGGTGGAGTCAAAAGCCCCTATGTTATGTTTAATGGGAAGGGGAGTCTGTGCCCGGATTTAATTTGAGTGCCCAGCGTGCACCGCCATCGCGTCCGTTTTGGTAGCACACGCCACCCGTGTTTGTAAATAAACGTCGTACTCTGTTGACGTTGACGTCCATTCATATTCCTAGGCGGTGCCTATCCCTCCTTGCCGTGTAAGGTAATCGATTTTTCGGGTAAACGTTATCTAAAACATCTAAGGCATAACTATATGCAAATACAGTTTTCTGTCAGATTTATAAAAAGCTTGTGGAAGAATATTAGTCTTGTATCTCACATGACATCGTCGTTGGATTAAAGTAATTAATTACAATTCGAATTTGAAAATTGATTTATTGAAAATGTTGTCTGCAAATATACCAGTAGCAAATATAGCAGTAGAACAAAGGTAACCGAAACAGCTCAGAAGGTTAGTAAGCTGAAGTGGCGATGGGCCGGCCATATAGCTCGAAGAACTGATAAGCGTTGGGGAAGAATATACCTCCTACTGCTTGGTAATTACGACTTTTATATGTTTAACATTGCTTGTAACATAAAAATCTAGAACATTCCTTAAGAAACCATTCCAATTTAAAAACAGCAAACGGCAGATGTTAAATGATTCTGTTTTCAATTTCAATCACGACTAATGACTTCGGGCACATGTAGAATGAGATGTCTGACGTGGGGTCACCTTTAAAAATGTCACCCATAACGTTGTAACGTGAACACTGAACATATGCAATTTTAACGGACGCCAAACGATAAAATAGCGTTTTACTCTCGATTCGTAGCACTTCGTAATAATAACTTTGTTTTGAGACTACCGAACTTTAGCATAACCTAGTTTAATATACGTGAATCACGATAGGATGTTATGATGACCGATTTTAAGTTTGACCACTTTGTTTAGTGGAAGCAAAAAAAATATACCAGATGTCGGGAGGGCTGTTTACTTGCATCTGCTGTTAAACAAAGCTCACTTTTGTTCCGCTGGACTCTTAAATTAAAACGGTCGTTGGAAACACAACTTCTTTCTAATTTCTGCGAAAATATAATTATGTAGAAATTTAATAGTTGTTACCTAAATGTTCTTAAAATAACAATAACATTACTTTTTTCTAAACGATTCAGTATTGAATTGAGAACGCTTCTAAAATCTTTACAAATAATTATTATGCCTGTTCCTTTTCTATAATAAAATTTGGTGAGCGATATCAGAGTGATCACGTGATGAGTGTTGATGTTGTGTGTGTTGGTTTTAATCTGGGAAGCGCTGTTTGAACTTTGGTATCATAACCAATGAGCATTCTTTCTCGAAATATCTATGCTATTCATATTGTCTATTTCCGCTCGACTGCAATATTAACCGACCATAACTAAAAAATAAATAAATTTCAAAGTTCATATCTGCATCACCAGATTTATATCATTAGAACTACTATCGAAAGTATTTCCACAATGTCACATAAATAAGAATTATTTTTGATGACAGCCAGGTATTTGCATGTTGATGCATGTAGTTAAAGGCTGGGTAGAATATCCATAGAAGATGAAAAGAACGACTAGTGTCCCAGACAGTAGTAAATATGCAAAAGATCTCTTAAAACGAAACAACAGTCTTTGACGTAAATGATTAGAGAGTCACGAAAAACTTTTTAATATTATTGTTGCACTTTAAGGTTTAAGTATATTATATGTTTAAGGGACTTTTAAGTTTTATTTCATTAAATTGCGACTATGTTATTATTGTGTGATGTAAATATTTAATAAGCTTCAATAGTTACACCAAGACAGTGGACTTCACTAACTTCTTTTACAGTCTCATTAAGATCTTTTTGAATGAGGTAAGGGTCAGCGCTAGATGTTACAGTGCATTAGGCTTGCAGGTCGTTAGCGAACATAGACGTTTCACATAGTATTATATTAGTATGAGAAAGAACAAAGACGGAGGAGCCTTAAGGAACACAATTGCAGCACAGAACTCATCTGATAAAATGCCATCAACACTGAAAACTTGCGGTCGGTCTAGGTAGGACTATAAAAAATTTAGCACGTTGCTCTATAGATATTTAGCTTAAATTTTTTTGATAAGTATGATGTGGTAGACTTTATAAAAGACACTGCTGAAGTTGGTATAAACTGCGTCAACTTGAAAATCTTAACTTATTTATAGAGATAATTTAGAAATCAAAAGGTAGATTGTTGATTCAAACAATTTTGAGAAACATGACAGTATAACTCTAATTTTTTTACTTTGCTACGCCCCTTTTAAGGACAGAAGGAATTGTAGCTTTTTCTAAACCGTGTTCATAGCATGTTTTAAACACCGTTGAAAGGAATAAGTAGAATAAGTAAAATCAGCTCAAGTTGACATCAATTAAATAAATGAAGACACATCGGCATAACAGATTATAAATATAAAACGAACGGTAGCTGGATTTGGAGTTCAAAATCCGCGGTTATTTACGGAATGCGCACAAGTTTATTTACGCGTTGCGCATATGTTTAAGCTTGCATATCTGCAACTAAGCTTGCCAAGTGTTCGGTCATGACGGGACTATCCTTGGATCTAGCGACGAAAATTGTGTAAAAGTGATAGTGAAAATAAGTTGTCAATTGATTTTATTGAATTATTTACAATCCAGTTATTTCTTCAATTACTCCATAAAATGCTCAACTGACTCAATTTTTCAATTAAACTGTAAAGACCTGTCGCTAGTAACCAAATCTACTGATAGAATATTAAAATTGGCTGTAAACTATCATCCCATCTGAGTAGCCCTTGATACCCTTTATGATGCATTTTACGATTTGATTTTACTGAATAAAAAGATAACATTTAAAATTCACTGTCCGATATTATTAAATAGCATGCACAACTCTCCTGCAACCATCATGATTTAAAGCACATATTAGTCACAATGAATCCGATTTTACAGCGAACAGTGGTGAAAAGAGACTAAAGTTTTGATATTAAATCGTCGCGACGTGACTTATGCGACTTTATACTTGAGTGATATGGACACTTAAAAACAAAAGATTTAATAAGCCCGACGCCGTAGTAACTTGTGGCTTATTTTCGTTTTTGTCGTCAAATCTCGAGTACAAAATAGAATTGCGGTGTTTAATTTTGTAAGCATGATCGTCATGCATAAATTTAGGATCAATACTTGTTTGTCGTGGCATATGCATGCTATTGAACATAACTGATATATTAAAAAGTAACAAATTTACCTTATTGTCTTTCTCGATTCTAGACGGTGGGGCCGCCACATGGCAGCTTCGGTTGTTTTATGAATGGCAGGCTTCAGAATTACCCACGGCCCTACGGAAAACCAGCGTGAAGGGTATTATTTCTTCGCGTTTCTTCTGGTCAGTGAAGGAACCAGGACACACTCGTAATGTTGGCAACGCATCTGCAACCCGTCAGGTGTTGTAGATGTTTAGAGACGGTGGTAATGACTTAACATCAAGTGAACCGCCTGTTTTTTAACCAACTTTTAACATAAAAAAGATAGCTCTCCACTATTGGTAATAAAGTATTATGTGTGGTGGGACTTAGGCTTAACAAGTCGGAATGTATTATTAAGTTTTGACCGATCATAAAATTCAATGATGTTGAGTTTATCATTCCAAATTCTTATTAGACTAGAATTTTCAACATAAACACAAAAAGCTATCATATTAATGGAGTACTTTGCCATACGAATTAAGTTAAGACTTTTCGTTTCAACAAAAAGATAGATTGAAGAATTATTTTTTTTGATTAATAACTCGAATATTTCCTTAAATAGTGAAGTAGTATTGCCGGTCCAACTTAATATTTTAAGAATTATAAGAGTGTTTAGACATTAAATAAACTAAGTACTTATCAATAACTTATAATAATATAGTTATAGCAATATATACATCAAAAACGGATAATATATTCGAGTATATTATTACAAACTTCTCAATACTTACATTGAACTACTACATCCAACAGAATCAGTTTTATTACAAGCTATCTCATCCTGAATTGAATGAAGAGTAGACAAAGATGGGCATTATAGGAGGCCCTCGGCGACAACGGAACGCCGGTTGTCGCCGGCTTAGATACAATTGGTCACTTCCGCTTGTATCGAATTAATCTACCGAGTACATACAAACGCTACGAGCATGTTATGTACGAACACATGGGCTTAATAATAACATCCGCGATACTGTGTCGCATATTTTAATTTAACCTCGCCTCCTGTTCGAAGTTAGCTTTTTTACGTGCCGGGTGCTTTCTTTAAAGTCATATTTGCCCCACCTTTATAGGGTTCACGGATTTCAATGTCGTAAAAACATTTCGTGTGCACGACCCTCCTCGTGGCATTGCTGTGTCGGATATCCGTTCAACAAAGTGAAGGAGGGTGGCAGATAAGCGAGTGTTTTCTTCTCGACATTTTGGATTGATAGCGCAATTCTAACGTGATCGAAATGAAGATATGTTATTGTTACAACGTTTTAATTAAGGATTAAACACAACAGAACTGAAATTATGAAGTAAATATTGAATAAAAAAAATATATGTGTGATTATGTACGCGCGTCAGTAGTTATACTTCTTAAATATAACAAAAGATATTAAAAAAAATATCCCCTCTGCTAGTGCTCTTTGTTTGTTTAAAAGACATTAATTGCAATTAATAACGATTAAACTAACTAACTTGGAATTATAGGTAAATCTAAAAGTTGTTATTGGTT